TTTTTGGATTACAGCCGGTTTCAGTTACAGATTCGATGTCATATATCGCGGGTTTTGGGTTGCCTGCCCAAGATCCCGTTGATCAACTTGCAGATCAATTGGATAATAGCTTGAAAATATTCGAGTCTACCCGATATGTTGGTACTGGGTCTCTATTAATGTTGAGTGATGGCGGTGAAGAACAAATTATTCCTCAAATTCCAGATGATTTGTCTTCCGTTGAGGCATATTTAAAAGTATTACCAAATCCTGAAAATGTAGAGAGTTTGGTCGATATATATTATAAGGTAAGGTTAATCGCATTAGATTCGCATAGAAACTTATTTATGATATATATATATATAAATATAATGTACTTGTCTAAATTTTCTTAGAGAGTTTATCGTCATTTTCCTCATCTGAAGAAAAGGGTGGTTCTCAACTGCATTAAAGATTTATCGAGACCACAACATTTCCTTTTGTTAAATAGTATATTTTTTGCAGCTTCTCCTTTTCACCCGGATGTAAATATGCAGGATGGTCGCATATATCATCAGGTATGTAATTTACGTATTGGATGGTTGCATACATATATGTTTTTTTAATTAATGAATCATTTTATAATGTTTTTCTTAATACAGAGAGCAATAGGTAATAATCCTAAAATTTTTTATTTTAATATATATTTTCCTTAATTCTAATAAATTTCTCTGTAATAATTGATAACAGCACTTTTGCAAAATCATTGCCTTCAAACTCCTCATGTATTAACTGTTATTAGCTTATTTATACTAGGCCTTCATACCAGAAAGGTATGCTATATTCTATATTGTATATAATTTTATATATTACATATACTTATCTTTTTCTCTAAAAAGATGGGATCTGCATGGATCTTTCATGGGATGGCTTCAAAAATGACATTTGAATTAGGGCTACATCGTAAAATCAAAAATCAACAAATTAAAATGAACGACGATGTTAAGGAAATGAGAGATATGGCTTTTTGGGGATGTTTTGTTGCTGAAACGTAAATATTTAATTATTATTTATAAGTATAAAATTGATGGTTTATGATATATATATATATATATATTTTATATTTATATTTATTTATTTATTTATTTATATATATACTCTTAGTTGGGTTTCAGCATGTTATGGTCGTCCTAGTGCCATCGATGAAGCAACTTGTGATGTTGACCTTCTCTCAATACCATCAAATCCTGAGCCAGATGATGAGACTCGGCTACATATTGCATGGATTCTTCATATTAATTTATTTCGTATTTTCGCTCAAGTTAGGAAACAATTATTTTTTCACATTAATTAAATTCTTTGATTATAAGAATATTTAAATTTAGAATGATAATTTCTTTAGGTGCGCAAATATTTATATGGACGTGCTAAAATAGCCGGTAGCCGTCGTGAAGAAAATCAATTTAGATTTTTAGATGCTGCGTTGGGTAGATGGTTTTATACTTTACCTCACTGGCTAAAGTTTGAAGAAATGGCTCGAGATGTGCAAGGAAGTTTATTGGGAACAATTGGAGGTAACATAGTCTATATTCTAATGCATTATTCTTTTTATTTATTCTATATTATTAAATAAATTTCTCCTTATATTAATATAGGAGAAATGCACACTTTATTCTGGACGGTACTTATTCTTCTCCATAGTAGAAATTTAACTATGTTTACAGTGAATCCAAACACCGTTACACCAAATTCATTTGATGACGCATCTCGTGTATCATCTCAAACCATTTGTATTCATGCAGCTACCATACTACTACATTGGCTTGATGTACTTATGAATTCTATGCCATGTTTTTATGAGCAATCTTGTACAGCATTATTTTCTATTGCACCTGCCATACGTGTTTTAGCTTGGACAGCTCAACGAGGAGATACTAAAGCTGAAAGTATGGTCGAAAGACTAAAAGAAATTAAAAAAAACGTTAGAGATATTGCGAGGAAAAGGCAACAAGGAGGAGAGGGTAGATTGGATGGAGAAGTAAGATTGCAAGAATGGTTAGATAAAGCCAAAGCAGATGAAGCTAAAAATACGCAAGCAAGAGCAGGAGAATATATAATGCTTGACCCAGATCAATATAGGAAAGAATTTTCGTTTATTGCAAATAAAAGCAAGCCTAATACTCGTCTACGTAATAATGAAGATAAGTCAACGTTATGGCCAAACGATAAGGACAATTTTAATTTTACCTTTACTGTGGACACTTTTAGTAATAATGAATTTCGTGATAGATCTTCACAACATTTATCATCACCGAATGATTCATCAACTGTGAGTCATCAATATCAACAACGGACTAATCTCTTGTTCACTAGTCTTTCTCCACCAAATACTTCTGCTTCTACGTCACCAAATCCTGCAACGTCACCAAATCCTGATCGTACATCATTTCATTCTTCTCATGCGCCAATTTTTGGCGGACCGAATATGATTTATAAGAATGAAATTATGAATAATAATATGTCTCAGCAACAGCAGCAACAACAACGGACCAATACTTCAAATATATGGACATCACAAGATAATGGAACGGCTGAATTGATAAATACATTTAATGGAGAGATGGATGCAAAATTAGATAATAATTATAATGATAATAATAATATACTTAATAATGGAGAATCAGTTTCCTGGGGTTAAAAAAGAAAGGGACGTAAAAAAATTCTTGAAAAGATCGTTTTAATTATTTGAAATCTTGTGAAAGTATGTTCGAAAATCATTATTTATTTGTTTTTTTTTTTTTAAAAATATTTGTAAGTTATCGATTAAATATTATTTAAGTAAATTGAATATAAAACGATTAATTATGTTAAATCTTTGATATTGTTGTAATATGTAGATTCTAATTTCTAAATAAGTTGTTAGAATTATTGGAATTATTGGATGATCTCTCGTGCCTAATTGTCTGATTAATAAATTATAATATAGTTAATGTGGTTTATGTAAATGTGAATTTGTCTATCTATTGTCTAATTTACATAATTCACATCTATTTCTTTTTTTAATAATAATAAGAATTATAATTATTAATATTAATTAATTACTGCGTATAATTATTTAATCAATTTTAATCAATTATTAGTAAAAATATTTAAACATTATTAAGTGCTCCATTCTTTAACTTTTTCAAAAACCCAGAAATTTAAACTTCCTAATGGAACTACAACCCA